CCCAAGTCACCCAGCCAGGATGACTCTCCAGTTCTGCTTAGTTATTTAGAGAGGAAGAAAGGGCTTCTCACACTGAGATGTGATCTGTGATAATACAGTTCTGTCTTGGGGACAAGCTGCTAATTTAAACAGATCTCCAGAGCTATGATTAATAAGACAAAACATTTTTTGCAGGTCACAGAGCTAATAATAAACCATGTGTTTCTTCAACTTTAAAATTGGAAAAGCCCCAGATAGCGGGCTGAGTAATGAACTGCAAAGACAATGAAATTGACAGGTGTGACTGTATTTTTGCTCCTTGCGGTTGGCATCCCACCCATCTGAATTACAATCAGTTGTTCTTTAAGTCTGGCCCACTGCGGGTCAGAGGGTGGTTGCTTTTTCCTAGCAGTGGGCAGTGTGAGGATTCATTTACCTCAATACCACATATATTTACCGAGCATCAATGGGGTGCCAGGGAAAGTGCGAGTTCCCGGAAAGTGTGGTGAACAGGAAAACAGGATCCCTGTTCCTCGGGGGCATCCATTGAGCTATAAACTTGCACATAAATTGAAGAAAATAAGTCAGGATGGGGGGCTTTTAAAAGGGTCAAGCGCTGCAGAGTGACTGGTTGGTGGGGTAATGGCTTACTTTAGAGCGACCTGGGCAGGCACCATGGAGGAGGTGACATTTACGTGAGGGCCTTCATGAGTAGAAGTCAGTTCTGCAAGGGGGCGAGTTTTCCAGAGGGGGCTGGAATGAGCTTGCTGGTGCGTTGGAGAAGGAGGAAGCCTGTAAGTGAGGCTGACGCAGGTTGAGCCAGGAGCAGCACTGAGTCAGCGACTTGGGATAACAAAGGGCCTTGAGGTCGGCCTGAGGACTCTGGGTTTTGCTAATAACAAAATGAACCCCAGAGTGACCCCATTTAGAGGCAAGTACACAATTATTGCTCATCTGTGGGCAACATTGGCCATTTTGTTCACGCCTTGCATGCATGAAGACCCTGACGAAAACTCCGAGATAATGAGCGTATTGACGTTTCTTCTCTCTGGAGTGAGCAGGTACCATTTCCAGTCCCACCCACATGTCAGCCAGGGAAAGAGCTTAGGTAGAGGTAAAACCAACGGTAGACCCTGCTGGAGCAATAGGGCCTCCCTTTTCTTTCCAGAGCACTTTTCTTTACCGGGAGAGGATGGCAGGGCTGCAGGCATCCCGAGATCGCCCCAATGCAGGAGCACAAGAGGGCGGGGTTACCTCCCAGCGGAACTGAAGCTGCCCTCCGTTACCCCCTCAGTGAAATAGGAATCTCTTCACACGCGGGACCTTCTCAGGAACGCTTGACCTTGGGGATTACAAAAGTCCGGTTCAGGAAAACAGCATGTCTGAGAATTTGCCGTATTTGCTAGATTGTTAATGCTGACCCTGATTCCACCCCAGGGTGTGAGTAGAAAGCCGGGCACAGAGCACTGCGCCCGCCTGTGTAGCCTTTGCTTCTTCTCCATGTGATTTTTGAAGATTTTTATCCCCTCCCTACTAGAGTTCATCTGCTCACACGACTCATTCATCATCTCAGATTGCTACCTCTCCTCTCCATCTTCAGGTTGGGGAAGTTCTGGAAGCCATTAGGCTGTTGTAAGTCAGCTTTTGTGACGTGTACGTTGGAGATGAGCAGCAGGGAAAGCAGGGTGGGAGGACTCAACTCCTCTTGCCCTGACAATCACCCCGGTATTGAAGTAAAAAAAGAGATATGTGACTCTCAAGTATGGTGTTGGTCAGAATAGTTTCTTCATAGGCATATCCTACATTAACACTTGACTCTCTGATGAGAACCTTGCTTTATTTTTACACCATTTTACCAAGGTATAACTTACATAGGGTAAAGCAAACAAATGTGGAAGGTACACCTCAAGAAACTTTTACATATGTGTATCCTTTTATATTCGTCACCCAGAGCTAGATAAAGAACAGCTCCGGTGGCCTCAGGTTTTCCCTTCTATCCCCTCCCACTGTTCTCGCCTCTGTCACCATAGATAGCCTTAGCCTGTTCTTGAACTTCATACAAATAGAGTCATACAGCACGTACTCTCTCATGTCTCTCAGCATTTTGTATGCGATTCTTCTATGTTGTTGGGTGTAGTTATTCATTCTACTGATGTGTAGTATTCCAGTCTATCAGTTTCCCAGCTATGGCATTATTGACATTCTGAGTTGGATGTTTTCTTCTTGTGGTGACTGTCCCATGCACAGTGGGGTGTTTAGCAGCATCCCTGGCCTCTACCCACTAGGTGCTAGTAGCACTTCCCTCCTGCCCTTAATTCCCCCTTAATTAAAAGCCATTGCATCGTATAAATGTACTACAATTTTTTTAGAAACTTTTTATTTGGAAATAATTTAAATAATTTCAAACTTAGTGAAAAGTTGCAAAAGTTAAACAGATAATACTCATAATATACCTTTTACCTAGATTCACTTATTGTTACATTTCGCCCCCATTTGTTTTATCATTTTCTCCTTCTTGCTCACACACACAATTTATTTCTGAGCCATTTGATAGCAGGCTGCATCCACCTTGGTCACTTACTGCTGTGTACTTCCAAGTGTATTTCCCAAGAATAAGGATCTTCTCCAACACTATCATAATTATCAATTAACCGCAGTAAATTTAGCATAATACTTTTATCAATTGCCCATGTCCCAATTTTTGTCAGTTGATCAACAATTACCCTTTATAGCATTTATTTTCACTGCAGAGCAGATTCTGGTCCAGGATCAGGTATTGTATCTATTTACCTTAGTATCCTTCAGTCTAGAACATTCCCTCACCTTTCTTTGTCTTTCATGATACTGAATTTTATTTTTAACAATAGTCTCTTTTCTTATTAATAGAGCATTCCACACTTGAAGGTTTGTCTAATCTTTCCTCCTGAATACATTCAGGATATGAATTCTTGACTGAAAGACTACATAAGTGATAGTGTGTCTTTCTTAGAATGTCCTGTCTGGAAGCACGTGATGTCCAGTGGCACCTCATCAATGATACTAAGTGTAATCCGCACTGTATAGTTACTAAATTTTCCCTTACAGATAATAAGCAATATGCAGGAAAATATTTAACACCATGCAAATATTATGCTCCCCCATCCAATTTTACTCCCCAAATTTAGAATACTTTGACTCTGGCATGAGCTGTCTACCTACGAGGGTTACAAAATGACCTTCCAAATCCAGCATTCCTTCTCTGTGCTCTCACTCTGCTTAGCACGCTACTATATACAAGGACCCATTCTTTTCCCCCATTTATTTATTGATGTTTTTATCTGTTTTCAGTATGGACTCATGAATTTCTTCCTTTTTTCCAGTGGTTTATAAAGCATTACTGTTTTAAATATTGTAATGCTCAAATTACTTAGCTTTGGCTAGTGGGAGCCCCTTGAAGCTGGACCCTGTGTTCTTCTGATAAACACCATCACTTTTTTTTTTTTTAACATTTCCTTACTTTTTGGCATAACAAGATAGATGTTCCAGGCCCGTCTCTTACCTTCCTTTCTGCTGTCCTGGAATCAGCCATTTCTCCAGAGTCCTAGTTCCTTTTAAAGGGGAATGGTAGAAAGTATCACAATGTATTTATCCTTTTTCCTGTTAATTGGCATTTGAATTGTTTCTAGTTTTGGTCTACTATAAAGAAAGCTTCTCTGAATACCCTTGTACCTTTTTTGGACCTATGAACTAATTTTTCTGTTAGGTATATAATCAGAATGGTGATGAAAAGCCAGAATCTCTTCCCTGGTTATATACCCAACAGAAATGAGTACATAAGTCCACAAAAAAAAGGACACAGATATTAAAAGCAACTTTTTTCATAATTCGTGTGAGTATGGATATATTGAGCTTTAGTATTATAGATACTGCTAAGTAGTTGCTCAAAGTGCTCATAACATTCATTTTGTCAGAGGAGCAGAAGTCACTGGCCCCAGTAGGTGGGGAGAAATAATCAGTGACGGGGGTCATAATGGGCCATTGCAATCCAAAGACATGTTGTCTGTGACCAGAAATAGCAAGTTGCTCATCCTTTCAACAGATAATGAGTGGAAAAGGCTTGGATTTTGCCACCTGGTCCATTCTTAAGCTTCTCTTTAGAGTGCTGCTTTAAGACGGGCAAAATGGAAGTTACCAAAGTCGAGGATCTCCCACTACCTTCGAAACAGCTTTTATCTCAGAGATGGCAGTGACAGCACTTAGGGAATGCAGATCCACTGCGAGGGGACATTAGGGTCACTGTTGTTAGAGAGCATTGGGGTCACTGCTTTGTTTTAAAAAAAATGCCCCCTGGGGGGAGCAGGAATGCCCCCCAGAGTCCCACTCACATCTTCTGGCTGCTAGGGGCCCATTTAGAACACTGGAACAATTACTAATCAGTCTGCGAGAGTAAATGTCGCTCTCTCTACATCCAGGGACTCCGCTTTCAAGACATTTGAGATAGGGGCTGAGAGGCAGCAGGCCCATCAGGAAACTGCCGGAAGCTAACAGGAAAGCCGAAAGTGAACTGGTCCAGTAGCAGGGGATGAGATTCGAGGCTCAGTGTTGCCAGAGAGAGCTTGGGCCTGGCCTGGCCTCTTAGAACTTAGTTTCCTCATCCCAAATATCTGTCCTACATCGATGATAGCACATCATTAGAATCGAGGAGACAATTGAAACTTTTTAAACTGGAATTCTAAGCAGAGGAAACATCATACACAAGACACACAGTAACTTTGGTGAGCCTTTTTAGGAATTAATAACTAGTAAAATGCATTTCTGTGGATACATTATAACCCAATGCCCCCTCTAGGTGGACACTGCCTCCACTGTGTAGTGGGGAGAGCCCTCCTCCACCCTTTCTGAGAGCCTTTGTACAGTGTCCAAACATATAACCATGTGCAGTGACCCCTGAATAGCTGACGGACAGCGAGTGACCCCCAATGTTGCACATCTGTATTAACCTCCGCGGTCCTCTTCTCTCCGATTCCTCCCACCCCCCACAGGCCTCTCCGCCGACGGTGGCGCCAAACGCCAGGAGCACCTCTCCCGGTTTTCCATGCCTGACCTCAGCAAAGACTCCGGAATGAATGTCTCCGAGAAGCTGAGCAACATGGGCACGCTTAACTCGTCCATGCAGTTCCGCAGCGCAGAGTCAGTTCGCAGCCTGCTCTCAGCTCAGCAGTACCAGGAGATGGAGGGGAACCTCCACCAGCTCGGCAATCCCATTGGCTACAGAGACCTGCAGTCCCGCGGAAGGATGCATCAGAGCTTTGATTTTGACGGGGGCATGGCAGGCAGCAAGCTGCCAGGGCAGGAGGGCGTGAGGATCCAGCCCATGAGCGAGCGCACTCGGAGAAGAAGCACTTCCCGCGAGGACAGTCGCCGCTTCCGGCCTCACCGGTCCAGGCGTTCCCGACGCTCGCGCTCGGACAATGCCCTCCACCTGGCCAGCGAGCGCGAGGCCATCTCTCGGTTGAAAGAAAGACCCCCACTGCGAGCCCGGGAGGACTATGACCAATTCATGCGCCAGCGGAGCTTCCAGGAGAGCCTGGGTCAGGGGTCCCGGAGGGACCTGTATGGCCAGTGCCCGAGGACTGTGTCGGACCTGGCTTTGCAGAATGCCTTCGGGGATCGGTGGGGACCCTACTTCACCGAGTATGATTGGTGTTCCACCTGCTCCTCCTCCTCCGAATCTGACAACGAGGGCTATTTCCTAGGAGAACCCATCCCCCAGCCGGCCCGCCTGCGGTACGTCACAAGCGACGAACTTCTGCACAAGTACAGCTCTTACGGCCTCCCTAAGTCATCCACGTTAGGTGGCAGGGGACAGTTGCACAGCAGGAAAAGACAAAAGAGCAAAAACTGTATCATTTCTTAATCTGCTTGGGGTTAGGGAATGGGGAAAGATGGGAGCTAAGAATGTAAATTGAGAAACTTGCACTGTTTTAGACTTTAAAGCGCTTTTGGGGGTGGCTACTGGGGGAGAAAAAGGAAATGCTCTCAGTTGATGAAGGCAAGGTTACAGATTGACTCAATAGGTAGTCACAGTTCTTGGCATGTTGAATATTATTTGCACATTTCACTTTGGAAACGCTGTAGACGCCGCGGAGGCCAGGGTTGGTTACCCCTCCCATCAGTGTGTTGAGTTGCCACTCGCAAGATGGCAAATTGTTTCCTGCTCGCTTTCGTCCTCTCTGGTTCTCTTACTTTTAGGGCCCTTTTTCCAGTAAGTAATTTGTTTATTAGCCAGGCCCCAAGACTAAGTTATTTACATGTCCATTGTAAATGCAATGTAAATGAGAGTTCTGATAAAATATTTTTGTATTTTGTAATATCAAAGGAATTTCTATATCGTAGGACTCAGTGGAGTCTTGCATGCACACCCAGCATTGTCTTTGAGTAGTTTTCAAAGGTGGTCCAGGATCGCCTGGGTTTTTTTCTTTTTTTCTATACAAATTTGTTACATGTCAGTGAGACCTTTTTCAAAGGAGTTTATTCAATTTGGCTTTTTGTGGCTAAAAAAAAAAAAACACAAAAAAGAAAAACCAAAAAAAAAAAAAAACCAATTAACTATTATACCCAAAGCATTTTGTGGTCTCTTCCTTCTTAAGGAGCCATCCTTCTGTCCATTCCCACCCTCAATAGAATCTGTTCTCTACAAAGTGATAGTAATTTTTTACAATAACAAACATAACCTTTGCCAATTAGAGAAACCAATCAGTGTCAGTACAGTTCTGTGAGAAACACAATCCCTGCTGGGAACCTTGAAGTTGCTTACTATTGATCTCTCCCTTGGGGAAAATAAAAGTGACTGTGAGTGGTGCTGTTGTGTGATGTCGGCATGACGTTGTTTTGAATGTGGCATTATTTTCTGGTGCTCATGTTTCCTGGATTGTATTATCTGCTTTCCTTTACCAAGGCAGACGAAACAGCTGCCTTTTAGCCTGACAACCGCTTGTCCTCAGTGCAAATGAACTTAGGCACAGGAAGGTTCTGAGGGGGCTCTGGGAGTGACGGTGTGTTCTAGATTGCACATTAGCATGGAGAAGAGAACATGAAGGTAGGTCAGGGCAAAGAAGAACTTCTGGCAATGAGGTAGAGGAGAGGCAACAGCCACCTTGAATAGCCCTCAGTGCTTGTGGAAAGAATTCGGCTTAACACATTCCACTACCAGAGTATCTCAGTGACCCAGAAAGGTTGAGCTGCTCAGGAGATTTCAGTGTGAGAGTCTTAAAAAACAAATGTTGAAAGGAGGATTTCCATCTTGAACTTAGGGGACCATTGGTCAGACAGAAAAATGGGCTCAAAGTGAGTTTGCTTAAAGAAGACATGTAACGGTTGTGTTGTTTATAGTAAAATAAAACTTCCTACCTTGCTTCAGTTAAAAATGAAGCGCTTGCTTTTTCTTCCATTCTCCTCCTCCCCTTAATGGATTGTGGCAGTTGAAATAATCCATTGCAGGACCCACCTTTAGTGAGATGTCCTGTCAGTAGTACGCAGTGTATCTCAGTGGCATCTGCCATGGTGAGGTGAGCGTGGTCTCTTTTCAGTATAGTAGTAAATATTTTCTAGTATCTTTTTTATGGAGAGAATGTGAAAAGTGGCTTTTCAGACACCATGCCAAATGGGTCTGGGGAAAGGACAGCTGTAAAGGATGTGGAAAAGGCACTCCATTCAGGATGTATTAAAATAATTTGCTTTTCAGGTATTAATATGACATTTGTCATTGTCACTGATTTTTTTAAAAAACAATGCAAATGTTGGTTGTGGCTGTTTTCCGCATGCTATCTTCATATCTAAATGCTTCATTAATTATCCAAGCCTCCAGAGAATTAACTCTATTACGTTTGTATAGTAAGTCTGTAAACTGCTTGGCAAACTGAATTTAAGAAATAATGTGTAACACCACACTACTAAAGTGGCAGGTTTCTGGTAGAAATTGGGAAAGTCCAATTTGGAGTTTTGAGTTCCTTGATTGAGAATAAAAAGGCATTTTGGAAAAAGAAAAACAGAGATCACTGAATCTAGCAAAAAGCTGAAAATAATATAGGTCCTCTGTGGCCTGGGATCCAATGAAAGTAACTCTCCTAGTAAACGCTGCTTTCTAACTCTGTCCTTTTCAGAGCACCTCTTGCATTTCCCAGATGAGGCGTTAACCCCCATCAGCAGAAAGAAGAAGGTGGCCTAGAAACTGACACATAACTAGTACCCAGAGGGATTGGAAGAATGAGCAGTTTCAGGCCTGGTTTCCCAGGGAGCGTCCAGCGGCCAAGGTGGTCGGAGCTGGAGATTTAATGAGATACAAGCCTCAGGGTCAAACTGTGTACACCTCCATCTGCCCCACCACTGCAGATGTCTTCTCCCCATGCCACATGCAGCAGCTGCCTTAGTGCCCACGGAGGGCGGCTGAATCCTCGCAATGAGGATGGCACCTCCAGGTGAATGCCCCAGACACAGCAGGGTGTCACCATACTGGGAGTTCCACCTGTTGGTGATAACTTACACATAACATCCCAAAATCCCATTCCCCCAAATTCAGTGCATTCTTTAATTCCTCCATCGTAACTGTGAGCTCTTCTTGGCCAAGCTCCGCCTGTGAGTGGGGCCTACACTCACCTCTTCTTAGATCATCACTTCATCTTCAGTAGAGTTGTGTTTAGAAAAGTAGCCTTTTCCCAGTTTCCTCTCTGCTCTACTGCCTTGGGCATTTGTTTTCTACCCTCTCCTTTTATTGGTCTTCTTGTCTTTTGGTTAACACCACAGCTTTAGAGTTCAGTTCATGCCCTACTGCTCCTCGATTCAGTGGCAAGAACTTGCTCTTTCCCAGGAAGTAGAGGTCATTAACCATTTCCAGTTGCCTGCATGGCCCTGCCAATGCGTATCACCCTTGATACTGTGGCCAGGTTTCTTAGCAGGCTGGTAGCATTGAGCACGACATTTAGGTGCCCTCCTTCTGTCATCTAATTCTGGGATCTCTACGAAGTATGAAGGCGAACCAGGTGAGGGAAACCAGAACTGTGCTTCTTGGTCTTGCACATGTTCAGAGGGGGAGAATCCCTAGTGTTGGTTGTTGGACACCTTTCCACATTCACCTTCTGTTCTCTAGTCTTTCCTTTCTACCCTCAGTCACCTCAGTCAGCTCAGTGACGAAGCAATTATGCATTTCTAACATGGGACCTGGAGGCAGCTCTTTCTCATCCTCGTCTCCCATCCTGCAGGATGTTCCTGCACTGCGACAAGATTACATTTCCTTCTCCTCCTGCAGCAGCTCTCTACTTCTTGGGTACCACTAGCCATTGCTGAGTTCAGATGGAGCCAGTGATGAGATATATGCAGCACAAGCTCTGTCGTCATGCAACCTGGGCAGATATAACTGATGTGTCCCTGTAAACTTTCCCGAGAACATGGACACAGCCTCAGAAATCTTGCAACACTCCAACCAACCAGAGCCAGTTGATCAGAACTGATCGTATTTGTCTGATAACAAATCTTATTTGGAAAATTGATTCTTATTTGCCTTCTCCCTCTGGGCTCTTTTGCCATTGGCCAAAAATAGTACCCCAGCCATTTAGATTATTCTTTTTTTTTTTTTTAAGCTGAGCCATCCTGCCACCTGTTGGCAGCTCAGCGGCTGCTCAGCTCGGGCTGGGACTCGAACTGCTGTTGCTTAGAGCTCGCACTCTTGAGCGAGCTCTTAACCAACTGAGCCATTGGCCAGCCCAACCCCAGCCATTTAGAAAGCATCATTCATAAATAATTGAGACTCCAATTCCTATCTCCGCAGATCGTGGATGCTAACAGGATCTGACTTCCTTAGGCTAAATGAAGACAAATCTCTTTGTCCTCCTTTGTTCCCTTCTCGTGTTCTTGGCCGGTTATTATAGGCAGCCTCTGTTCATCCTTTTGCAGAGGTCAGATAAAGAGTCCATCTTATTATTCACCTAATCCTACCTTTTAACAAGAAATAACACAAATATTTAAATTCTAAGGAGAAGTGCGCTTTGTGTATTTCTGTCTAACGGAAACCAGATGTTAACACCTATGAAGGAGACTCTGTGACAAAGGGAAGTTGAAGATGGAAGAGTTGCTCTTAGCAAGCAGCTGTCTAGCACCTTTGTGGCTTTGAAATGAGCTCTGTGGACAGCATTCCAGGTACAGGACTCAGCCAAGCCTCCTCTGCTGATTTTCAAGACAGTTTCAGATTGCTCCCTTTTGAGGTATATTTCTTTAAACACAAGAGAAGCAGAAATGAGGAGAGTGGTGCTTTGCCTCCAGTGGCCAGCCCCTCTGGGACCTTGGCAGACACCAAAGATTGTATGTCTGACCACTTGGAAGCCATTGCCAAGGTTAGGATCAGGAAAGGATTTGATTCTTTTTCCATTTTCTCATAATAGTAGCCCAGGCAACATAAGAATCATAAAACATGACTCACTGTTGGGAGCTAAACTGTTTTATAAGCTTACTTCCTACTGACAAAATAGCTTTCCTCAAGGGGAATAAAAAGGAGGCGGGGACAGTCAGGTAGTGTTAGGATTTCTGTGATTTATTATAGATATGATGAATCCATAGGATAGAAAAAATTGTCTTGTTCTATCCTGAGAGTTTCCTGAGACATCCCTTCACCCTACTGGGCTTTTGGCCATTGATGTTCAATAGGTCGCTGGCCAAGCTTTTCTAAATTTTTCAGAGCAAATTACCCACCAGTAAGGTCTGTTCTCAAGCCTTTCGGGTTGCTGTCCATATTTTCCCATAAAGCACTTTGGTTTCTATCATGGACTCTGACTTAACACTCCAAGGCCAATGAGTCCTCCATTTTCCTTAGCAAATTAGAACTTTGCCAGTTTTCCTTCTCCTAAACACATTCTTTCCTGTACAGGATTGCTTTGCCCATCTCCTGATTTAATTCCAAGTAATTGAACAAAACCTCAGAGGGCCTGGGAAGGTGAGGCAGGCCAGAGTCTGTGCTGTGTGTCGAGTGTCGAGCTGTTCGTTAAGAAGGTCTGCGACAGACCTTTGGTGTAGGCTCTGCCAGAGACTGTTGTGAACACTTTGCTTGAGATCCGTGCCCTGTAAAATGGATATGATGTTTTACTGATGTCTGTAATACATTTGTAAACTTCCAATAAAATTTGAATAAAAGAAATGTTGCCATTCTTCTCAGTCCTCCCTCACTTTCCAGATTTAAAAAAATCTTTGCCTTTGAGCATCTCAACAGAGAAAAAAGAGACTGAACATGTCAGGGAATGAGATTTCCTACAGAGATGAGCCTAATTATTTAAATCAGAATTTCTCAACCTCAGCATCATTGACTTTGGGGCCAGTTCATTCGTTGCAGCAGAGACTGTCCTGTGTTTTGCAGGATATTTAATAATGTCTCTGACTTCTTCCCATCAGATGCCAGTAGCACCCTTCCGCCAGTGACAACCAAAAATGTGATCCGTACGTCACACCCACTGGAATGGCTACAATCAAAAACAAAAACCAAAATAACAAGTGTGGACAAGGATGCGAAGAAATGGGAACCCTGTGCACTTTTGGTGGGAACGGTGCAGCCTTTGTGGAAAACAGTACAGCAGCTCCTCAAAAATTTTAAATAGAATTGCCATCGGGTCCAGCAATTCTACTGGTATATACCCAAATAATTGAAAGCAAGGCCTCAAAAAGATGTCTATACACCCATGTTCATAGCTACGTTATTCACAATAGCTAAAAAGGTGGAAGCAACACAAATGTTCATCGGTGTATGAACAGATAAAGAAAATGTGTTCTGTATATACAATGGAATATTATTCAGTCTTCAAAAGAAAGGAAATGTTAACACATGCTGCAACATGGATGAACTTTGAGGACATGATGCTAAATGGAATAAGCCAGTCACAAGAAGACAAATACTGTAAAGTTCCACTTATGTGAGGTACGTAGAGTAGCCAAATTATAGGTGGTTGCCAGGGGCGAGAGGTCGAGGAGAATAGGGAGTTGTGTGACAGGTATAGAAGTTCAGTTTTTCAAGATAAAAATTCTGGAAATTGGTTGCACAACAGTGTCAATGTATTTAACACTACTGAACTATACACTTAAAAATGGCAAATTTTATGTTTATTTTACCACAATTTAAAATTAATATCTCCATCCATAGCTGAATGTCCCCCGGGGGAAAAAAAAATCATCTCCGGTTGAGAACTACTAATTTAAATGCTATGCCTTCTTAGCGTCTCTGTGCCTTGTGGATTCTTGAAACTGACTCCTATCCACACCACACAGTTAATTTTCAGTTATTAGCAGGAATTAAAACCAGCAGATGACCCTAAAATATTTGTATTTGCTTTTAAGCAAATAATAATTGGGCTGTTTAGAGAGTTATTTGCACAGCTGTGTTCTGGTTAGGATGGCATTAATATCGCCTGGAAGCCAGAACCAAAGCAGCATGGAAATTGGATTTTCCCACGTCTGATCCACGACATTTAGGAGCTGCCGGATACTGCAGTATCATTTTTTTCATTCATTCAGATATTTATTCAGAGCCTGCTTTGTGTCAGGCACTGTTCTAGGTGCTTGAAAAATAGCAATGCACAAAACAAATTTTCCTACCCTGAAGGAGTTTACAATTTGACTTTCCACCAGGCAAGAAATGTGAAACAGCAAATTTTCTCACTTAACCATGAAGACTTGGGAGTTGGAGATGAGTCATTTTACTCTAAGGCCTTCTGAGAGCCTTGGAATGAAGACTTATGTCGTGCTGGAAATGGCAGCTACTGTGCCGGGTCTGCTCACAGATCCTTGGGGAGAGGATGGCCGTCGGGCAGCCATGGTTTTACTAGTTGACTCCCCTCTTCCTTTTTCTCAGCCAAAGTGATTGGCATCAAGAATGGCTCTAGCCAGCAATCTATGAGCCACCTAACACAACACGGTAACCTGGACCGATCAGGTTCCCTCTCTCAAGATTATAAATCAAGGAATTCTGAGAGAATGAGGCAGTTGGCAGTGGAAGATGAAGCAAAGAGCATGTGGAGGAGGAGCATGTTTAGGATGTGTAGGGGGTAAAGGGAGGCCCACAAGCATCCTGGTAAGATGAGGGATGAGGAAGCAGAAGTGATGGGTAAACAGAAGCTCAGGCTGAGAACAGGTCCAGGAACGAAGCTGGACGTGAGCACAGAGAGATCTGAAATGGCCCAGAGGAGCTGGTCCCAGGACTTGCTCACGTCCAAAGAGATTCCAGTTCCTGCCCTGGAGGTACTCTTCTCGGGTTACCTGTGAGTTTGTTCATTCACACACCCCTTCCCCATTATGCTTATGTATTATTAGCACATTAGTCACCCACATAAACTCTTACTTGCCCAAGTGTTCCTTGCAACCCTAATTAAAGCATATGAAAGATGAATTCTGAATATCGGCCATCACGCCTTTATTTTTGCCCCATTTCCCCTTGAGCAATTTAATCCTGCTGAACCATTTGTTACTTGTATCATCTTGGGAGATATCTACATCTTCTCTAAGCCTCAGTTTTTATCAAATGGGAGAAAAGTCGAGTTGTGTAGATTTACTGAAATAATGCATGTAAATCTCTTAGTGCTATGTCTGCCACTATAGAAGCTCAAAACACGTTTGCTACTGTTGCTGCTGATGATAATTTCTATGCCATCCAAAGATAAAGGGTGGCAGGAACTAGATATCATTGGTCTAAGAGTGTTCATTGTCTTTTCTTTGAATGTAAGCATTAACTAGGAGTTAGAGACATCCCCAGAAGGCCTGAATCTTTATTACATATAAGAAATGTCTGCAAAGCATATTAAACAATGAAAATCTCCTGGTGCTGCCCACAGAGGTTCTAGTTAAAGAGATCTGGGATAAAACCCCAGAATATGTTTTTTTAACAAGGCCCCCCACTGCATTCTGATCTAGATGATTTGAGGATCACACTTCAAGAAATTCTGCCTTAGCATATGTTTATTCCAAGTATCTGGGAAAAACAAAACACACCAAAAACCTGTCTTCCAGTTCCACTCCAGGAGAATCTGAAAACAAGCCCATTGGTCAGGATGGAGAGATCTGAGTCTGGGAATTATAACCCAATTCTGGAGGACCTGAGGTATATTTACCTTATTCCACGAGTGACAGTCTTCAAAAAAAAGAAATGTCACTTGACTTTAATTTGTCTTGAGCGACATAGATCACTCCTACACTGAGAAGAGGGTGGGCTTATTGCCAAACAGTTTCACAATTGTGTGTGGACTTGAGAATTGCTACTCTTGGCTCATAGCCAATGGCTTTCACACATCAAAATTACCTAGTTAGATTATTTAAAATCCAGAGTCCCTGGCCCCTTAGAAAATCTGATTCAGGGAGTGTCCAGCAGGTGAGGAAAACTGCATTTTTCATAAGGTTTCAGGGATAGGAGACCAACTTTGAGGAAAAGCTGCTCTGAGCTTCTCACAGTGGGAAATTCTTCATATTCAGTGAGCCCCTATGTGCTAAATGCAGTCTAGCTTGTGGTACCGAGCATCAGTCTGGAAGGGTCTGCTTCTCAAATGTTCGTTCACCTACCATATGTGCAAAGTAGACACTGATTTACTTCTGACTTCTGACCTAGAATGAAAACGTCAGCCCCTTTGGAAAGCCAAGGGTAATGTAACTTCTACATACAGCTAATTTTGCTTGAGAGAGAAGTCAAGACAAGAACCCAAGATGGAAAGCTTATCAGAAGATGCAGTAGATAAATAACCAAAGACAGACACAGGCTCCAATTAAGGGAGACATGGTTAAACCATTAAATGACACAATCTTACCCAGCAGGAAAGGAGATGAGTTAAGAGCTTTATCAGCAAAATACTAGCAGTTACTTGTGTTCCGGCTAGGTTGTTGATTCTAGACATAAAACAAAACATTGGGGTTCACAGAAGGCTTTGATGCTATTAACACACAAGTTAGCAAACAGAAGAGACCAAAAGGACCAGAAAGTAAACCCAATAAACCCAATAACGTGAGGAATTTAGGCCATAAAAGGCAACTTCTTGGGCCACGTGTTTTGTATTTTAAGTGGCCAAAATTTCCTTCAAGCCAATTTGAGCAAAAAGGGGGGCAAAACAGAGATACAGAACATACGAGGCATCTTGTGAGAACCTAAGGGCAAGCCCTTCGTGAGGGCCTGGACCCAAGAAAAGGAAAGCCACCAAGAGCTCAGAAGGAGTCTATCCCCGTTTTGAAATCTGTTTCCCTACAGTTGTCTGCTTAACCTTCTCCCTCAGCTTTTTCAGCTTTGAGCAGCTCGTGTACATATGTGGTGTCTCACATTTAACCCCTTATTCTCAGGAAAGAAACACTGATTGGCCCAACTTGGATCAGGTACTCATTCCTGGTCCAATCAACTGTTGGAAAAGAGTGATTCCTTGATGGCAGCATGGTGGTAGAGTGCTAGTGCTTGTAGGTGAGGAAAGCTTTCAGATAGAGAACAATATGGGCTGAACAGATGCCAAATGTATTTCCTATAAGAACTATCCTAGTCATATCCCAAGGGAAGAGCCGGGGTTATTACCTATTGGATGTATTTCTAAAGAGTCATTTGCACTTTACTTATGGAATTGGAGCTAGGGACTGTTTCTACAGGCCCCCAAACTCTATGACTCCAACTGGCCCATTCTGTCAATTAGTACGTTCAAAGAAACACCAGTAAGGAACCAAAAATATTATAAATTTGTACTAAGTATTTCAAATCTGTACTGTTTCTCGAGGAACTGCCAAAAGAGAAGATGAATTCTTAATGCGTAGCAAACATCTTACAATTGTGTCTCCATTGCTGCCCCTCCACTGTTCTGTACATGGAGACCAGCTTTCCCCCAAACTCAGTCTCTTTCCTCATCTCAATTTCCACCCCAAACACACCAAGCGCACAGACCTTTGCTGTCCCACTTTCCCTTCTCCCTCACCTGCTACTTATTATGTAAATCAAATTAGCCAGTGTGTGGTGTTTAGTTTTTACCTCTACTTTATCCAGTACCCAGACTCCCTCTGTGCTGTGCTGTTTCTAACACTGGATGAATTTTTGTCACCTAAGCTGCAGTTACCATAAAGGTCTTTTCCTCTGACTCCATGGCCTGTGTGGATTCCATCCAGCTGGTGGTCTCATGTCAGGTAAGAGGATGGCTCTGGGAAAGTCG